CACGGGGTTCTGCAAGGAGTGGAAGACCTTTTCCTGAGGTTGCCGTTTTTAAGGTATTTGGAGGGGAAAGCCACCGCCTGCACGGACAGCGATCATCTTAACCGCATTTAGGTCAGTTTTGTTCATGTTAAATTGAATCTGAACAAGAGCCAGGGTGGTACAGTGGGGAAAGCGTGGGACTGATCTGTGGATAGCCGGGTTCTGGATCCCTTTGGGCCAGTTACTCCATCTGAGCCTTAAAGTTTGTTGCTGGGAAATTTTGCAGAAAGAGTGATCTATATAAATACAGATACATATAGGTAGGTAAGCTAATTGCTTTGGGAGGCCAGTAGTATGTAGTGGGTAAGGCACTGGATTAGGAGCAGAGAGATTCTGATTCCAGTCTACCGTCCGTCATAGAAACTCCCCAGATGATGGGGCCAGATACGCTCTCTCAGCCCAACTAGAGCTGTTGCTGTTGGAGAGGAATAAAAATAAGAGAGGAAGGAGTCCTATGCCTACTGCCTTGAGTTGCCAACTGAAAGGAAGGTAATCAATCTAATTAACCTATACCAATTTTGTCTTTATCTTAGCTCCAGCTTCTTTCTGGAGGGCAACCTATGGCATTTGGGGCTCCAAGCCCCCATCCTCCCCAAACTGGACTCTCCTGATGCAGTTCAAGCATGTAGTTCGAGCAAATAGCTTGAACTAAACACTTGGGGTGGGGGGCACGCATGATCCTTAAGCAGGCCTATGTGGAAAACCAAATCCATTGGTCTAACCTTGGATTAGAAATGGCCTCCGCTGAACTCAGTATTACTGATGGATGACTGCTTCGGTCCACCTTCGAAGACATGCTGAGCGGTGACAAAGACCATTCATTTTCCATCAGGAATTTAAACCATCCTTGCCAAGGCTTTCAACTAGTCAGCGGGATCCACGGGGTGGGGGGAGATGTCAAAGACCTCAAAGTGGCAGCTATGCAATTGAAAGTCCTGCCCTTTAGTCATCCGTCAAAAGTTGCCGGGAGTCAGGCGGCATATAAATTTAATCAATTATCGTTATTATTGTCGTCTTTGCATGCATGCAACAGGGGCGAGGCTTCTGTTGTCTGCTAAGAGCCCCCTCCTGACTTTTTAACCCCCTCCCCCAAGGCCACTGGAACTAGTAACATTGCTAGAACCCCACTGAAGCAAAAAAAGAAAAATAGCATCTGGAGTCTGCTTGATTTTTTTCTCTCTCTTTTATGTAAATCGATCATAGTTGGTGTTGAAACTTGAAAGCCTTCTTATCACCGCACTCGCTGCCCGGAGAAAAGTGAGTTTGATGCACCATTTCTGCTCGGGATGCAATCCCATTACAGGCTGTTATTCCCAATATTTTTGCCTAATCCGTTTAACTGGAGATGGTAGGATTCGAACCTTGGGCCAGCCATCGATCTTCTCCTCTCAAGCAACTAAGAGGGGAGCAATTCGTCAGATAATAACTTGACTGGCCGACACCAGATCCTTGCTAACTGCTCATTGCTCACCAGGGAAAGGAGAAGTATTACCCTGCTCTGCGATCTGTGAATGAATGAATGAATCTCCTTCGATGCTTGGCAGAAGATTAGCCCATCCTAGCTGTATTTCATCATATTTAAGGCTTGGTTCTGCTTCTGGTTTGGGAGGGAAATCCACTGGGTTTGACATCACTGTGGCTGGGTTATTTATTTACTCATCCTCAAAATGATATAGAAACATAATTTAAGCAAGTTGACTGATGCATGGGGCGTTTAAATCTTTAAATGGAGACTTTGACTTAAGCAAATGTTAAATGTTCATCACCATCATCTCAGATGTTATTTTTCAAATGCACTAACACACACCCACATTAATGCAAGCAAAGCAAAGAAATAGAACTGCCCATAATCACATCGTGTTATCCAATTAAATTAATCGTTGAGTCATTTTGCTTAACCCTAGAAACAAATTAAGCAGATACACTAGCACCTCTTTCAGCCATGAACATATGTCCAGGCAGGCACCAGGCATCAAGTCTGAATAGGTGACACCTAAGTAAATTTGGTCTAAATTTCTAAAGAGCCCTCCAAAACTGACCCAGTGCTTCCTCAGGTTTAAGGCTCATCCAGACACCCCTCCAATTGCACCTCAGATACCTCGCTAACCATTTTTGAAGAACGCATCCTGATGATGCAGCATTCATCCCATCAGCAGGCTGTAGCTGAGGCCACCTAAAATTGTATCTTCCCAACTGGATATTAAAGTCTCCACCCTCTCCAGACAGGCTTTACTCTAGAGCAGTGTCTCTCAACCTTGGCCACTTTAAGATGGATGGACTTCAACTCCCAGAATTCTCATCCATGACCATGGCGGCTGGGGAATTCTGGGAGTTGAAGTCCACCCATCTTAAACTTGTGGAGGTTGAGCAACACTCTAGAGAGTGCTTGTCAGCGCTTCGGTCGGACATCTCCCAGCTCCTGTGGACGCTTCCAGTTGCTGGCAGCTTCCTTTGTGACCCTTTTAGAGATCAGCCACCAGGCTACAGATGTGAAACACCAGTCAGATGGGGGCAGGGGTGTGGGGCAGGCTGAGGAAGGAGACACCCCCTGGCATCCCCTCCCCCCATCCACATGGCAGAGCTCACAACAGGGCAGGGAAGTGAGAGGAGGATGAGGGAGAGAGACGTAAGTCAGACTAGAGAGAAGGACTGAGTCAGTGTAAAGGAGTTTAGAGATGGCCCTGAGGAAAGCCTGCAAGAGCTGTTTAGGAGGGATGCAGAGAAGAGATTACACAGTCTTGAGGAAGAGGGAAGTGCGAGAAAGTAACTCAAAAGAACCCCATCTTGATTCTTTTTAGTATAAGATGGGGCAAAGGGAAAGCTGGATGGGATTTCAAAATTCTGTCATTCTGCTTTCCTACAATCAAGTAACTTTCCTGGAATCTCTGTGGGGTCTGTTTCTGGCCTGCCTCAAAGGACTGACAGGGAGAGGCAGACGGACAGACAGACCAGCAAGAGAGACAGATGAGCAAAAGGGAGGGAATGGGAGAAGACGAGATGAGGATGGAGTGGGGGATTGAGGGAGAAAGACATACAAGGGAGAGTGGGTTGAGGGAGCAAGCAAGGGGTTCCAGTGCTCCAGGAGAAAAAAAGAGGGGAGATCAACCATGGATCATTCATGGAGTGAGCAGGGCTTCCTGCAAAGCAAGAGAGGCAGAATGCCCCCCTCTCACCCCACCCCCATGAATCAAGCACTGACAAATGGCTAACACCCCCCCCAAAAAAACCTCACCTCTTCCCCCAGCACCACCTGAGGGACAATGACTGAAAGGTGCTTTTCCTGCCAGCCAAAAATCCACCAGTTGCTTTCCTTAACTCGTCCCAAGGCCGAAGAGCAACTGGCTGTTGGGACAAAGCAAATTACACCCCTGTATTTTGGAACCACCTCAAGGACTACAGGAAAGCACATTAAAGGAACGGTCTGGATGAGACCATAGAAAGACAACAGTGGCTCCTTAGACTGCTGAGTAATTGTAATTTTATCCAATTTTATACAGTCATAAAATTGACCAAGCTTGGGCATTCTTCCAACTGAGTGGCTCCAATGTTGTGGTGGTTGTTTTTCAATTAAACACACACACACACACACACACACACAACCATTAATTATGGATGTATCTGTGCTCTTCATTATTATAGGACATTCTTTTAAAAATGTATGGTGGTTGTGTTTGATTTTATTTGAAAATATTGGTTTCATTGGATTGGTAGTTGTGAATTAATTTTATCGGTTGGAATTCTGTACTTGTTTTGCTCTTCTTTTGATCTATACCTTGATAAATATATTAGTAGTAGTAGTAGTAGTAGTAGTAGTAGTAGTACTTTAGTTTTACTTTTAGTTGTACTGGTCTATGACTGTAATAAACTGATTGATTGATTGATTGATTGATTGAGTAGTAGTACTACTACTAACCATTTCTGTCCTACTGTTATTTCTAAACAGTGGGATTTGGTAAAAAAAAACTCAACCAAACACAAACATCTCCAAAAATCAGTAAGTCTTCAAGAACCAAATTAAAATGAGAAATAACATCTGTCCAAAAGGGAGTCATTACAGGGCATGACCACAACCAGCCCAGCCTTGCCAACTTTTCGCCAAACTCTCCCAATTTCATCCCCCAAGGATGTAAGAAAGTCCAGCTTATGGGAAACAATCGTTTCAATTGAGTTCATTCTAATTAGAAAAGTATGGAACCATGTCCTATACATTCCCAAATGGTTTTCTCTGAATGAGGGTTTACAGGCCACAAGAGGTGTGTTTTCACAACATGTTGATCCACCATCAAACTGATGACCCATCTGCTCAGGGTCTTGTCTGAAGCTAGCCAGAATACAATGGTAAGGTAAAACACAGACACACACACATAAAAAATCCCAATCAAGCCTAACGTTGTGGGATTTCCCAGGAGTCTCCCACCCAAGTACTAACCAGGCCCTGCTGAGGTTTCTGGGAAACAGGGCCAGCTATGTGCTGCCACCTCCTGCGAGCCAGTCCTACAGAAAGCCCTTCCAATATCCATCCAAAGAAATGTATTGAAGGCGATGGGAGTTAGGACCCAGAAGGAAGACCAGGAAAGAACGTATGTGTGTCTGGTATGCATTTGTGTGTGTGTGTGCGCGCACAGCATTCGAAGGTGGGCGCCGCGCCTCCAGTCGGGAAGAACCATTAACCCTTTGCTTAACCGCAGGCTGGAATTGCCTCCTCCCTCCCTCCCTCCTTCTTCTTCCTCCCTCCCTGCCCCTCTATGCTCGACTGGCTGGCAGGGCCATGTGCTTCCCGGGCTGAATTTCTCCCTCCCCAGCGTCCGGCG